CCACTCCGACGGCTTCGACCACTACGGCCTTTGATAGTCTGTGACTTCCTATTCCACCTACCCCTCTTCTTTCTTTTATATCTCTGTAGTTCATGCATTAGGTTTTGTGTATATACTGTGAAGCTTGAACATGTATTCCTATTCTATATACCCGATATGGTAAACTTGACTCGATTGAGTCATAAGAAATCTAACAGTGGCAACTCCAGACAGCCACTCCCTCCCTCCAGGGCAGGCTCCAGCTGTTATTAGCTTGAGCTTTGCGAGATGGGGACCACATGGCTGGCTAGTGTGGCGTAGTGTAGTGTAGGGCTCTCCTCCTTTGACTGGCTGACCATGAGTGAGTCCATGATAGGCTGGAAAGCCGAGCAGTATGATGCGCTTGTCACCTAGCGTGCTCTCTCCCTCCCTCCCTCTCTCTCTCTGGTGTGGCGAGTGGCGAAGGGCAGGAGGAGGAGGCCATGGCCATGGACGTCCGAAAAGGAAGCCCGAGCACTCGCTTTCCGGGCGCCCAAAAGCTCCCTGTCACCGCAAAGTGACTGAAAGCCTGTCCCTGCTGTGATGTAAAAAAAACTTCTTTTTTCCTAAGAGAAAACTCTCATTCAACGAACTGACCGACTCAAGCGCTGAAGAGTGACCCGTTGAAAAGACTGAAGATTACTGTCGTCCTGTGAGAGGGACTGAGGGAGGCTGGAATTCATGACGATGACCATGGGTGCAGAATGTGAGACTTGAGCAGAGGAGTGACATCAGTTTGCACAAGGAAATACTGCACCACCTGCAGCTGAGTTGCACGTCATGTTCTGGTAAGCTACGCAGCCACCAGCCCACTGCCCACCAATGCATGCTAAAAGTATAATTCCATTAGGCTGGCAAGCTGCAACATGGAGGACAGGAGTAGTTGCTTCCGAATGAGCACCTGCTGTAAGATTAAACTACTGCAAATTGGGCAGCTCGCGGCAAAAACAACAAGTGTCTTTGGCTCATCATGCGGATACAGTGCTAGCATACTACTAACATTCAGAGAAATTAGAATGTGCTGCACTGCATTATCATCATGTCACATGCTAACTAACTGCAGCCACAAGTGTATTGGCCACTGGGTGTTTTTTAGAGTCTTTAAGAATTGGGGAGACACAATGAGGTGTACGTGACTGAGGCATGCTCATGCCGAAAACGAGGTGAAACTTTACAGGCATGTCACCCTCTGTGATTTCTTCGTATGGAGTCCTCCAAGTTTCTGTGTGGTCAGCATCAGCATCACCGTAACCACTAAACGCAGCCTGACAAGTCCCTAATTACATCGACACGCTATATACAGTTAGTTTTCCTCCAACAAATTCAGAGTTCGATTGTTTACTGCTTCAGATTAAGAAACGTGCATTTAGTTTCGATGCGATTAGTTGATGCAATGAGGTTTTCGGGAAAAAAAATAGTTGATGAAATGCAAGAATCTGAATGATTTAGGAAACAACGTGCAATACAACTCTTTGCCGGCTAGCAGGCGCAAGTTGTTCAAATTCTAGTCCTAGGAGAGCTGTAACAGCAATAAGGAGGGGTCCAGTCAGATACTCTCCCTCCAAGATCCAAATCTGGATCGAATAGATTATCAGATTTGCTCGCGCATACACACACACACACACACGCCAGATAGAAAATTGGAGGACATCTGAAGATCTTTTAATCCCAAATCTATCATTTCTAGTAAGTTAAGATTCTTTCATTCTGCAGAAAGTACTTTTGATCTGAACTTTTGGATGCTGTTACAAAACAAAAACAATGTGGTTGCCTGGATCAGATTGACTGTTTAGGTTCGGTTCTTCAACAGTCCGAAGAGAACAACTGTGAACAAATCCATTTGTTCTCCCAAAAAAAATTCTGTTCAGTCTTAATTGTCTCTGACAGCATATACTATATTAGTAGTATTATATCATTGTATGCTTGCATGAACACAACATCTGCACTGAACCTGGACTGCCTTTGGACATGATCTAGGATGCAAAGTTCAGCTGTTTTGCTGGTAATAGTATATATCAAGAGAAACATCTTCAGGGTGCATGCCAGACAGCCAGAGTTACTCCACAAGAGCCCAAGGGAACCAAATTAAAGAAGTAAAACGGCACATGCTTGGTGTCCTTCTGTAGATGAGAATCCAATGACTGTCACAATACCAAGTGTTCATCAGAACAGGCCAACTTCCAGCCTGTTGAAATCAGAATTATGACATATCCTCTTACTAGATCCATATACAGATAGTAGGTATACTAAAAGGCGTCGTTTTAGTCTACACAGGGTGATGGGGAAATTGCTGAACTATTACAAGCTAGGGATCCAAAACTAGTAACAGAAAAGCCTACAGAAGCAACTCTAATGGAAGTTGTACATTCTGGGTCTGGGAAGTGTTAAAGTATGCATTAACTTTTTTTTCTCGAACGTGCCATTGGCACGGTTTATACATTTTTATTGGGAATCAAGATTCTAGTATGCTGAAGTCAGCTTCTTGTATTTATTGAACCTGATGAAGACTGTCCAAAGTTCAGTGCATCAGCTTGAACTTCATTTACTTTGTTGAATATTGTGATTCTTTTAGAAGCTGCTAGCTGACAGACAAGACATCATGGAAAACAGATTGTCGTCAGTGTACCATTTTTACAGTAAGATAATTTGATATTTTTCCCCCCAATCGACAGTGGAAGGCTAGAAGCTAGTCGACAAAAACATAGAGAATTATAAGTTAGAACGCAACATTGAGTGAACATCTTCTAGGAACTCTGCAAACTATCCAAAAGGAATTAAGCATTTAAACTACAATTTCCGGGTGGCAAATGACTTCTGCAATATTACAAACCTTAATGACTCAAATCTTCAGTAAGCCTGGGCTTATTGGAGATGTATGATTTGTACTTCAACTGCTTTCCTCTTAATGAAAAAACGTACCACGGTCGTGAAAAAGCTACAGATTCCTTAAGGCAGTGATGAATGTGTTGTATAGGTTGGCTGAGAACCAAAAGTTTCCAAGGATTCACAAGAACCAAACAGCATTGATGCGGCGGCTCCCTTGGAACAGGAGTAGGGGAGAAAAGACAGGGATGAATGATAGCGAATGGAGCGTTGTAGAGCCGGCCGGCATGATTGGCAGCAAAGGTCACCAGCCGATCTGCATGCCATTGACGCTGTTCTTCTGTAACTGCCAGCCCGTTCACCACATGCATGGTTTGCACTAGGGTTAATGGTCCTGTATGTGTTTCCGATCCCTGCATCTCCATGACTCCCAAGTTTTTGCCCCCCCCCCCCCACCACACACACACACCACCACCACCACCCACCTCCGGACCAAGATATGTGCATGCATGAGAATGAGATCTGCACTGAACAGAAATGGCAGGAAATGAATTATGCAACGTACTACCGTCTGGCAAAAATGTCTTTCGCATTTGACTTTGAGCGGTGTTCAATGGCTCAATGCGTATCTTTGACCACTATTCTAGAATAAGTTCGTAAAATCTTTTAAGTTTATAACATGTTTTTCAACCAATACAATTTAGAAGATATCGATGTCTATAGTTTTTTCAAGGCTTGATCAACGCCCTGTTCACTTGAACTTATCAACCCGACTTATCAGTCATAGTACAATGTTTTTTCTCTCACAACAAAACAGCATCAGCGAGCTTATTAGCCACATAAATCTTGTTGTAAACCACATGTTTTATGACAGGGAGCAAATACTACCACAAATGCATGCATGAGATCTGCACAGAATGCAAGATTGAAACGACAAGACACCAAAGACTCCCTTCTGCCTACTGTTGTCCGGTGTCTGCTGCATCTGAAGTTTTCTGCGTCACCAGAATCCCATTGCCATCGACGTGCAGACAGGCACAGATGCATTGCTCCCTTGGGAGCTGCAGGATTGATCCAACAGTGGTGACCAGAGAATAGGCTGCAGGCTGCAGCAGGAATGCAGGATCCGGTATCTGGCTGGCAGGCCACAGCTCCTGCGACACTGGTAGCTGTCTGCGTGCCCCGCTGGTAGTGCCAGCCAATGGGGCCTGCTGTGCTGTATGGGTGCCGACGTGCAGTTGGGCATGAGAGATGTACGATCACACCACATTGTGCGTGTACAATGCAACTGTACGATGGTCAAAACGAAGGCCCGACGCAGCAGCGTATGAATTGATCATTTGGGTACTATAGAGTAGCTGCATCCAACATGTCAGGTCACATGGATGCATTGTACTCCTACTAGTACTGTATCTCTATAAAGAAAATGTGATTTTGAGTTTGGATTGGATCAAAGTTCCTTAACTTTAACTGAATTTATCCAAAATATTATTAATATTTATAACTCTAAATAAATGCACTATAGAAATATATTTCATTACTAATCTAATACGGAGTAAGGAGTTGTTTGGCTGATGGTTTCTGAGGTTGATAAGCCGGTTGAAGCTGATTTGTTGTGAGAGAAAAACATTGTTCCATGACTGATAAGTTCAAGTGAACAGGGCGTCAATATCATTAATATTAATATTTTTTATATAGATTTAGCCTAGCTTTAAAACATTTGACGTGAAGATTACATCATTTTTTGGACAGAGGGTGTAATTCGATCTGATCCATACCAGCACGATGACAAGCAATCAAAACACTCGAACCCTTTCATCACGGCAATGCAGGTACCAAACCACTCGCCAGGAGTCGGCATTTTGACGAGGGGGAAATAAGCAAGCAACCATGTGCTTGTTGCATAGCAATATCACCTGATCCGAGATAGGCAGAACAAAAAACAAGACCAGAATAACTTGGCAAGTTACACGATCAAACTGAAAAGAGATCACTATCGATAGGGCCAACTGAAAATTACTTGACAAGACACAATTTTCAGTAGGGCACCAATCAATCCAAATCCAAGTAACAAGCACAAAAAGGACAACGAAGATATAGTATTTGAGAACAGAAGAACCAGCAGGTTGCCATTAGTCTATCTTCAATATTTTGGTGTCCTATTGGGTGCTCAATGCATCTTTGGAGGAACTACCGTAGAGGATATAGACAATTGTGTCCTTAGCCATGATCAGTAGAAGAATCTTCAAGTAGATCAAAGCCCACTTCCTGGTAACATCATGGTGGACATAGTCCAGCAGGATCTCCTTGTGGAACATGTAGATCTGATGGAAAACTGGCATGACCAGAAGAGAAGTGGTAATGGTATTTTTTGATGTGAAAAGCAGAGCCGGGATCATGACATATGTAGCTCCTTTAGCTAGCTCAGTTACCCTCACTTTCAAGCTTTCATATGTCAATGGACTGCGTCTGGGTTTGGTGATAGTTGCTTCTAATGGGCTGAATGCCGTCACCTTTGTGGAGGCACTTTCCTGTGTTTTCAATTCATCAGATTGAGCCGTATCAGCAATTATCTTAGGCAGTGTAGAAGAGATTTAAGGTATAGAAAGAACATTGAATTTGCACTAGCAAACCAATGACTAGTGGGAAGTCAGAACAAACTATCAGAGGCATAAATGCTATAAAATGCACAATAGGACCCACCTGCATCTGCTGCACAGAAGATCCATTGGATGCTCCAGCAGAAAACCAGCGAGGGAATACTTGTGTGCCACTGAGTCGTGAAGTTCGCTCATACCCTAGAATCTGTTTGAATACTCAAAAGATGAAATGGCACAAGAATGTAAATTAATAGGAGCACAACCAACGCTACATTGCTGAGAAAGATGGGATCAGAAGTAAAAAACACAACAAGTTCATTAAGAGGGCACAAACTGAACTTATTAAGAGTTAGGTACATATAGAATAAGCCACAAACCATGCATTAATAATCCAACTCTCCATGCCAATTATACAAATATTATGTTCCAAACTTTCAAAAGTGTGATTGCACAAGACAGAGAAGTTCTTTCCAATGCAAACAATAATTAGTAAAGCATTCAAGAAATACAGACTCACAGTAAATGTCATGGTCATGGTAGTTAGAATATAAATGTCATAGTGAAATGTGACACTGTTTTTTGTGTGAAATTGGTAGTGCTTCCCTATAAAACTTCCTTGTTCCTTATTCAGGACAGTGAACTTAAGTTCCCTCCTCTATATTCAGTCCTCCATAGAATAATGAACCATCACTGATTAATGCAAAAGAACTTTAGTAAAGCAATGGAAACAAATTTCACACCAAGTGTAAAGAGTAAAGATGTGTCGACTAATCCAAGCAGGTTCTAAAGATGTGGTTACTAATGCTACAAAATTCTTGAGGATATTGATCCTAGCAAAATTAAAAGGAAATGAGAACTTGCATGACAAGAAATACTTATATCAGTAGGTATGAGCTACCATGAAACTTGGTGGCATAACATTTAATTAGAAATAAGACCCCTGAATGTCAGCAAAGGAATGACATGCTTGTTCTCTAATAAGTTGCTACTGAAGGTTGGTATTGAAGTGAGAAACTTTCCATAGAAAATGAAAGAGAACAAGAGAATGTTTGAGCAAAGATACTCCCTTTGATCCAAAATGCAAGTTGTTTTGGCGATGAAAAGGTCTACAAGATGACAATTTGACTAACAATTTCTATGAAAAATGTGTTAATTCAAACAGCATATTGCGAAAGTAATTGTCATGATCGATCTAGTGATGCCACTTTTTTTGTTATCAGTCTATGCGATCACTTATCTGTTGATGGTCAAAACTTAAAACAGAATTGACCAAGAACAGTTCTTCCATTCATCTATCTAGACTATAAGCTAGCAAACTTTATAACTGCCCCCACAAAACGCAAGCGAATACGCAACGCGGAGAACCATAGATTCGATCTACACAGACACATTGCCTGAGAAAAAAAAATGTATATCCGGAGCAAGGAAATGGGCGGAGCGAGGGAGGGCGAACGCGAACCTTGGGGAGGTCGAGAGGGGAGCAGACCGATGTTTGGCGCAGTGACGGGGCGGCGGCGGCCGGGTTCTGAGGGAGAGTGGAGAGCGCTCGGAGAGACCGGGCGCCGTACAGCGGCGACGGCGCGGTCGCGTCGGCGCGTGAGAGGGCGTGCGCTAGGGCTTTGGATCGGGTCAGCACTCGCGACGCCATTCTCGCCGTCTCTCCCGCCGCGCCGGAGGAGAGGACTGCAGCGAGAAGGGAAACTGGGAAAGAAGGTGGCCGAGGACGCGGAGGGTATGAGAGAACATATGGTTTGGCCCAGTAAGGAATACGGCCCAGGTATGGGCTGGGCCAGCAAATGTGGTGCAGTAAGGACTATGGAGTTCCGCTTTCGAGCCACAAAGCCTGGAATTGACTGACAAGTCAAATCCTTTTCAATCTAGATGGATGGGTAGATAGATTCCATTATCATTTTACTTGTTCTGGAATACCAATTCGTGTAGCTGAATTTGTGATTTTGAGTCGGATCAAAAGGACAAAGCATTGACACGAGTAAGTTTTTTTTTTTCGATCGACACGAGTAAAGTTTTCCTAGCTCTTGGGGCCTTGTGGAGGGGGGAGGAGGCAATGACATCCACTAAACTTTTTTGTACAAAAAAATTATAGGCTTGACTTATATATATGCTTAGAATAAATACATCCTCAGAAATTACACATAGGTCCACAAGAAATAAACTACCATACAACTATTTTCTGGCCCTATCATCATTAGGTTTTATCCGATTACACTTATATCCACCTCGATCCATGTATAAAACAAGTTTAGCCAAACAAGCTTCAAAGGTGGTTTGAGTCTATATCTACTTAGGTGGTTTGGTTGGTATCTACTTATTTCGAATCGAAAAGTCAAACCGGTGGTGCACTATTTATTTAGGTTGTTTCTCTCTCTACACTTTAAAGAAAAATATAAAACAAAGCATGCATGATCAGAGCATTGTTTGTAGTTGTCTACATGAATGCTTATCATAATTTCAACTATTTTTTGTCTTAATAGATACTCCCTCTAACTTTTCTAGATACATAACTTTTACTATACACCTAGAGATGTCCATTATATCTAGATAAATAGTAAAAATTATATATTAAAAAAGTCATAATAAATTACAATTTAAAATGAAGAAAGTACAATTTATCTGTACATTTTATATTTAGCCTTTTAGAAATTCTGGCATTTGTACCTGCATGTGTTGAAGCAAATTTGTTTCATCCCTCCCTCACTCTCTCATCCGTCTATCCTTACACTCTCACTCATCTTGTTTGGTATTAAAAGGAGCAAATTTATTTCATTCCTCCCTCACTCTCTCCTATGTCTATCCTTCCGTAGATCCCACACTACCACCTTCTTGTTAATTTGGTCACTCTTTTCACCGTCCGAAGATAGACTGTATCCTCCACCAACGCAGCATTGGTTACTGTTTGGAGCTAAAAAAATTTGTTGGCGCTGCGGGCGGGTAGCTCGCATTTCACCTTTCTTAAACTTAAAACAAGTGCACACAATAGCTACATATATTTAAGCTGCGTCAATCTCTAGTTAATTTTCTCATACGGGATTAATCCTTCATTGCACCTAATATTTATTATGAGCCTTATAATTTATTTGATTTAATTTAAATAAAGTTGGGCCAACAGAATTAGATCTAACAAAGATAACTAGCTCGTTATCATTATCATATATATAGATGGGTTCAGGTAACTACGCAACAATTGTACGCCCCAGTTGCAGCGCTCGGGCATATTATTTGTATATAAAGTTATAATTGCCTCAAATAACATGTGGTTGGATTTTCTTGAGAAGTGATATATTCTGCTAGCTAGCTAGGTGAAAAAAATGCTCTTAAAAGAGAGAATGGTATCAATTGCACGTTTACCTCCATGTATAAAAAGTCAATTTTACACGATCATCACACACAGACACACGTACCTCAAATGGGGGGAAAAGGCAGATAGGGCGGTTACGACTGCTTATTCACCTCCATTATGTTCTTAGGAATAGCCATATTCTACCGACATTTATAGCTAGTGACAGTGTACCAAATTAAGGCCCCCTTTATTCTTTGAGTGTCTTCTTAGGCGTTGGAAATCCATTGATTAATCAATTATATATATTGATTAGTACTTAATCCGGCCGATTTATTCTTACCTCGACGTGTACGTGGAAATAGATATGCCCATTCATTTCACGTTGACACGTCGAGAATGCAAAGTAGGGCATTAAAGAAATGGGCGGGGTTTTACGCCAATATGGCACCCCCAAACAATGTGCTGAAAGCTGAATGCATGATGTTTGATGCCCACTCAAGAATTGTTCTTCTTGTTGTACTGCAATCGGAAAAAAGGAAAACAGCTAGAATCGATTCAGTCCTTATGGAGTAATCTACAAATAAACTGAAAGAAGTCAGAGGCATGCATGTTTACTTGCACCAACGTTGCATTGGTTTCCATGTAGTATAAGACGAGCTCACTTGGAGTTTTCAAAAAAGCAAAACTCTTGTTAATAAAGGTATAAATAAAATGTAATATTAATGATAAAATGGCATGGCACCTTGTGATGACGTACACGCTCACTGGAACGGATGGCAAATAGAACGACGACCACATATTATTTGTGGTGGCTAAATTCTGGTTGTTGATGTGATGATTTGTTGTAATTCATTAAATTCAGAAAAATACGAACATCCAACGCCAAATTGAGGATTTAAATTTAGATGAACAAATTACACCATAGGTAACATAACCAGCCAAGCTAAGCTTAGTTCGCGTCATCATTTTTAGTAGCAGTAGATTGAGAAGAAATAAAATGCTGTTATGGCACCCGGCCCGCTCATGCAATTTTAATTAGTTCACGTCATCATTTTAGTATGCATGCATCAGACGCTGCTATATTTTCAGCTCAGTGTGATCTTGGTGATGTGATGTAACTAACTACTTTTTATTTTCAAACAAATTAAACAAACAAACTGTAGAATGGTGGCCCGTGGCTCGTCCCAAAAGCAAAGACGATCACAGAAAGTAGCCGCGAGCCCTCTCAACAGAACATTCGATTCCCTAACTAGCTATAGCTAGCCACTCCGATCCTCAAGATTGCACTGCCCCGGTGGCCACTTCCTCCAAAAGCCTGCCGGTCGGCCGGTACGGTGGAGATGGAGACTGGCCTCTCGATCGATCTCGATCTGCTATATAAAGCCAGCCTCATCGATCATTATAACGTCACCACAACTCATCATACACACACACACACACACAACTAACAGCAGCAGCAGCATAAACTCTGAACCCTCAAGTGAGGTTCGATCGTCGATCGTTGGCACCCACCATCAAGGTATCAAAGGAGAAGCAAGAGACGACGACGACGTCAATGGCGGCGGCGGCGGACGGCGGCGTGTCGAGGCTGGCGTCGCAGCGGGCGGTGGTGATCTTCGGGACGAGCAACTGCTGCATGTGCCACGCGGTGAAGACGCTCTTCTCGGAACTGGGGGTGGGGTGGGCGGTGCACGAGCTGGACAAGGACCCGGGGGGCAAGGACATGGAGAAGGCGCTGGGGCGCATGGTGGGCCGCTCCCCGCCCGTGCCGGCGGTCTTCATCGGCGGCAAGCTCGTCGGCCCCACCGACCAGGTCATGGCGCTGCACCTCCGCGGCAAGCTCGTGCCGCTCCTGCGCGAGGCCGGCGCCCTCTGGCTCTGATGATCTCATCTGTGAATTACCCGCGCGCTGCATGGCTTACTACTCCATCATGATCGGATCCAGCATCAAGTTATATATACATACTTGCTACGTAGTTCGTATACTTCTAACTGATGCAACACATGCATGCATAATCCATGAAAGGTCATCGAACTATTAAGAGAGCCATGATGATCTTTCATTCAGTTCAGTATAGAATATAGATACCCGTCGTCGTTACTATGTTCAAGGAGGAAGGAATGCTGTGCAAGCTGTAATCGATGAGCTAGTATGTACAACGTACGTACGTACGTACTTCTACTTTGAATGGAAAACATACAAGCTAGTGCGCAAAGTTTATGTGTGTGTATATATATATATATATATATATATATATATATATATATATATATATATATATTCTTTCATTCAGTGTTTGGGCCATAAGGCCTGGCTTGCCATCAGAAGGGAATAAAGGATCACTTACTAGACAAGCTGTTGCAGTAGATTAATCAAGTCAAATCAAATAGTTAATATTACGGAAAATCTACTTTACGAGCGCACACTGAGACGTGCTCGGGGCGCACACCGTCTCTGTCGTTCGATGAACGCGTGAGACCCACTCCCACGCACCCGCGCGGGTCAATGAAGAAGAAGACGACAACGGCTAGGGTTCCGGCGGTGGCGGTGACGACTCTCCTTCTCTTCTTTCCTAATTCAGACAGGCTAGAAGGAAATCGGGAGGCACGCCAGCGAGGCGGTGGGACGACGAGAGGACTGCGTTAGGGTTCTACGGCGAGGGAGGCGGTAGCCTAGCCAGGTCGGGGGGGGGCATGGCCATGGCGGTGGAGAGAGGGGTGAGGGGAAGGAGGAGGTCGCCACGGGTGGTGGACGGCGGGGTGGTGAGCAGTTGGGCGCGAGAAGAAAGAAGGTCAGGTCGTGCCTTAACTGATTGGCCGTGGTCGAGGGCGGCGGCGAAGGTGACATGGACGTCGCCGGAGCCGGGCCGAGGTGAGGAGGCGACAGCGGAGCGTAGGAGGAAGAAGAGAAGGCACACGCAAGGCAAGGTAGGAGGCGGGCGGGCGAAACTTTCTACGCGACTACGCAAGTCCTTAGGTGGTCGTTTGGAAGAGCTACAGCTTCAACTTCTCCAAAGAGAATCACTTCCAACCAGCTAATCGCTCAAAATGCCAACTGATTCATGTGGGGATCAGGAGAGAATCATTTCTCCATTTACACTAAGAGGTGAGAGCTAAAGAAAACACGCTTCACCCTACTTCCTATTATATTAGTGGGGATGAGTAGAGAATCAATTCTCATCAGCTCCCCACCCTCCTCTCTGCCTAACTCTTAAGAATCCAATGGAATCACTCTATCAGAGAATCAAGAAGTAGAGCTAAAGAATTAAAAAGTGAAATTCTCCCAAACTAGGCCTTAATATTATCGATAATGCTCTAGTGAGGACGTCCGTCCTAGCGCATCCATCTGG